TATAAAAAAAAAACTTAAAGTACTCCTAAACTTGTAACAATATATATATATATATATATATATATATATATATATATATATATATATATATATATATATATATATCCTTTGATGGGATTTAAATTGACCTGAAATTGATAAAACTAAGCTAATAATGATAGACTAATGTGACCCTTCAAATCAACTAAGGACACAGCAGTCACTACTATTTTGGCTCAGCCTCAAACAAATACAAATACAAAAAAAAGAAGAAGAAGTTTAGCCTATTCAATAATGTCTGGGTTGGAATCTATTATTGGATATTTACCTAATAAAACTTGGAATGTTGCTTTTATCGATGGTTTAATAAGATCCGTTCCAATTACAACAACTATTAGCTACACTATCTATTTGTGGTATTCTACCTCTTGTTTTTGTCCCAAACAAAAAATTTATAATAACTGTTTTATATTCACTAATTTTTATAGTAATATTTGTTAGATTTTATGGTTCTATATAATTGATAAGATATATTATAGATCGATCCTATCTAATTGATAAGATATATCATAGATCGATTAGATTATCAATTAATAAAAAAATTAATTAATATAGATTTTTTGAAAGACGATAGAAAGAACTCTCCTAATTACTTATTTTAGACCATTATGATTTAATGTTTCAATAGTTTGTTAGGCATATGCACATTATTTCATTTTGTCTTTAATTTTTTTATTTATTTAATATGATTTTTCTGCAAGAGTTAGATTCCGATTTCATTTTCTACTGAACTGTGGTCAGGTCAAGTAAATGCATTACAACTCTTTTCTTCGATCAGTCATCTCACTGCACTACAATTCTGCTTGAATGCTCTGAAGCATTTCCAATTGAGTTTAGATTTGGAAGTAGGACATCTCCATCCAGAGATGCAGATGGTTGCATTAAGTGCCTGAGGATACAGTGCACGTTCATGGGTCCTTCATTGATGAATTAGTCATGTTTGGGACTGTAAGGCATATTATCGAACACCTACCGTGCAGTAAAACCAGCAATGCAATATACATTTCTTGATTATATTCACAATGATAAACTTCATTCAATTCAAGCAAAAAAAAAGGGGGTTCGAACGAGCTACAGATCAGTATCCGAAGTTGCGAGCCAAAGCGGCGATCTTCTCAGTGGAGAAGAAGAGCTAATGCGTACCTCCAGTTGGGCATTGAACTGCTCGTTGCTTGGCCTCAGCAATGCGGGCAGTGGGAAGGACGCGCCCTTCTCCTTGCATGACTGATGCCTCGGCCTTATCCTGTCCGCCAAGCTGAAGGAGAAGTACTGTGGGAAGTCCCTCAGCTCGCGGAGCTCCCGCCGCATCTCCGACACGAAAAATTGCGACTTGGGCCTCAGATTCTCCTCTATGCTGTAGCAGAAGAGCTGAGGAAACCTCCTGGCCATGGCCCGAGCGTCCCGATACGAGAAGCCGACCTCTTCCAGGAAGTCGAGCCTGGGGAGGAGCTTCTCCTCGACGCTGCAGGAGAGCAGCGAGGCATGCCGCGCGATGGGCGCGACGCCGAGCATCTGGAGGAAGTAGAGGGTGGGGCGGAGGCGGCGGGCCACGTCGGAGACGAGGAGGCGGGGGCGGCGACCGATGACGCGTCGGAGATCGCGGCCCTGGACGCCGGCCTCGCGGAGGAGGAAGGCGACGGCGGCGGCGAGGTCGGCGGGGGCGGCGGTGAGGATCTCGGGGCACATGCCGCAGGCGCGGCGGATCTCGGGGGCGGCGAGGCCGAGGGAGCGGAGGAAGTCGACGGCGACGCGGAGGTCGGCGAGGGGAACGGCAACGAGGGCCGGGTGGGCGGCGGCTGCGGCGAAGAGGTCGACGCCAAGGGCGTCGAGGAAGAGGAGCTTGTCGCGGAAGGAGGAGGAGGAAGAGGGGGCGGAATCGGGAGGCAGAAGGGGAAGAGTGGGGGATAATTTGGGGGGCTTTTCGGGAAGCGGGATGGGGGTATGCAGGGAAAGGCGAGCGGCTCTTGGACTGGAAAGCAGAGGGAGGCGGGGCTGCACAGGGGCATTCCGGGAAAGAAGGGTGGTGGGGATTTGGGGAACTTGACGGAGGCCGCGGTAGGAGCAAAACGGGAAGACCTCTTCCATTGTCTCTCTCTCTCTCTCTCTCTCTCTCTCTCTCT